TCGCCATTAACGTTGTTTGGAGTGTGGTATACCATTGATTTGTTGTGGATGTCAATGTCTGTATCGGGACATATGAAAGCAGCTTTAAGACGATCTATGCTAACTGTTTGTTCTTTGTTTTCGATCAGTATTCTAAACGTCTTGTCATTTCGCTCTAGTATTTGGTAAGGACCATCGTAAGGTTGCGTCAATGGTGGTTTTACCTTGTCATTTCGTATAAATACATGCGTGGCTGAGCTTAGAGCCGGTTGGATGTGGTAGCCTCGGTCTATATGATGCGATACCAACGTTGCCTTGACGCTCTGCATTTGTTCTCTTAGTTTGGTTATGAAATCGTGTTGATTTATATTTCTGTGGCTAGGGTTGCTTACTATTTCGCCCGGTAAACGTAGAGTTTGGCCATATAGCATTTCAGCAGCAGAAGCTCCAATGTCTGGTTTAAAAGTCGTGCGTAGACCTAACAATACTATTGGTAAAACTTCTGTCCAAGAAGTTGTTTGGTGGCACATTAAGGCTGCTTTTAATGTGCGGTGAAATCGTTCCACCATTCCGTTACTTTGAGGATGGTAACTCGTAGTTCGTAAGTGTTTGCAACCGATAACTTCAGCTAGTTGGTTGAACAATGAAGATTCAAATTGTCTTCCTTGGTCTGTTGTGATACGTAAGGGTACGCCAAAACGTGCGATCCATTGAGTAATCAGTGCGTTTGCGATGGTTTCCGCTGTTTGATCTGGGATCGGAATTGCTTCTGGCCATCGGCTGAAACGGTCGATGATGGTTAATATATATGTGCAGTTGTTTGATGGTGGTAGCGGGCCGACGATATCTATGTTTATATGTTCGAATCTGTGTTCAGCGAGTTCATATTGACAAATAGGTGAACGGTTGTGACGTTGCACTTTAGAACGTTGGCATGGGATACATTGTCGGGTCCAGTTTCTGATATCAGCATTTATAGAAGGCCAGAAAAATTTTTCAGCTATCATTTTTGTTGTGCCCCGAATGCTGGGATGAGACAACCCATGCGTAGCTTTAAAGATATGTAGCCGGTATTTCTGCGGAATGTAAGGACGAATTCGCCCAGTTGAAACTTCGCAATAAATTTTATCTGATATTGTTGGTAAAGATAAAAGTTTGATTTCGATGGAATTGTTGTTTTTGATATCTTGTAGTTGTGGGCAACATCGTTGTAATCCAATTATACAATCGTAGTCGATTTTTGGGATGCTAATACTATCTATCCGCGAGAGAAAATCTGCTGGGATGTTGTCTTTTCCGCTGACATGAACGATATTCGTTGTAAATTGACCTATATAATCAAGCTGTCGGACTTGACGTGGTGAAGCCTTGTCGGACTTTTGCTGGAATGCGAACGTGAGTGGCTTGTGGTCAGTTATTAATACGAATTCACGACCTTCTAACATATGTCGAAAATGTTTTATGCCCTGATATGCGGCTAACAACTCACGATCGTATGTGCTGTATCGTTTTTGTGTATCTGTTAATCGTTTAGAGAAAAAACCGAGTGGTTGGAACGTGCTGTCTGTCACTTGATGAAGAACTGCGCCGAGAGCTTTATCCGAGGCGTCTACTTGTAATGCAAGCGTAGCAGTTTTTGACGGATGAACAAGTAGTGTCGAGTTTGTTAGTTCATCTTTACATTTTTGGAAGATTGTTTTGTTCACTTCAGTCCAGCATAACGGTGTGTTGTCGTTCTTCTTGTTTCCTTTTATCATTTGTTGAAGTGCAGTTTGAGAATCTACAGCGTTTGGTACGAACCTGCGATAAAAGTTAAGTAATGCTAGAAATCTTCTTAATTCTTTTGTTTTTGTTGGAAGCGGGTACTCGCTGATGCTCTTCACTCGATCTGGTAGAGGTTGAATGCCCTTTTCACTGATGAGATAACCAAGAAATTTTACTGTGTTTTGAGCAAAAACGCATTTTGATACGTTTATTATTAAACCATGTTTTCTGAATCGTTCGAATACTTGTTGCAAGTGTTGCCTGTGCTCTTCCTCGTTTGCTGATGCAATAATGACGTCGTCAATATAGGCAAAGGCGAATTCGAGATCTCGTAATACTTCGTGAATGAAGCGTTGAAATGTTTGACCTGCATTGCAAAGTCCGAATGTCATGTTAGTAAATTCAAATAATCCAAATGGAGTTATGATCGCCGTTTTTGGAATATCCCCCGGTTCAACTGGTATCTGGTGATATGCCTTAATCAGGTCGATGGTTGAAAAAACTTTTTGGTTATATAACATGTGTGCAAAATCATGTATGTGAGGAACTGGGTAACGATCTGGGATGGTGATTGCATTTAAGCGACGGTAATCTCCGCAAGGTCTCCAACTACCGTCTGGTATTTTTACCATATGTAAGGGGCTAGCCCAATTGCTGCTTGATGGACGGCATATTCCGGCTGTGACTAAGTTTTGGAATTCTTCTTTTTGCTGCTGCTAGCTTGTCTGGAGGTAACCTACGTGGTCTCTCACATATTGGTGGACCTTTTGTTAATATGTGGTGAGTGACTTTTGTCACCTGGCGATTTGTCGGTGTTGGTTTAGTGATGTCGATGTATTCTTTTAGTAGATCTGCAATTTTGCAAGATGTGTTCACAGTTGATATTTTTTTGCGCATTTACCTTACGTTCACTTGCGGCTGAGAAAATCTTTGTTGATGTGTCGATCAATCGTTTCATTTTTATGTCTACTATTAATCCGAAATGATTTAAAAAATCTGCACCGATGATTGAAGTGTTTACATCTGCGATAATAAATGGCCATGTGAAATTTCTTCGTAAGCCAAGAGCTAGAGTTATCTCTATTTCTCCAAATGTTTTGATCATAGAACCATTTGCTGCGTAGAGTATTCTTTCGTTCTTATTGTTTGTATTTGAATTTTTTTGTTTGGCGGCAATAAGTGAAACATCTGCACCCGTGTCTATTAGGAATGATTTTTTTGTCTTATTGTCATAGACGAACAGTCTTGTAGATGTTTCGTTTACAACTTCCTCTGCCGCCGTAGACGAAGTCGGTTTTAGTTTTTTGTGCCATATGTGCATGGCTGCTTGCAATTTTTTGCATTTGACCCATATGTTCTATGATACCAACAATTTGTACTGGTCTTTTCTTCACTATCATCATGACATTGCCGGTTTCTGGATGTTGAACGTGAACGTTGATTTGTTCTTGAGCGGTGTTCGGTTGATAATTTCGAGACCATTTTCGTCAGTCTGGTCACTTCTCGTTGAAGTTGTTCGATTTGTGCATCACGTTGAATATGAGCTGCTGCAGGGACGTTAGCTGCATTGACGTAAGTTCCTTGCATTGTTGAGTTTATACGGATTGTTTCGGTTATGTTGTCTGCCAATTCCGCCATCTTAGGTAGTTCCACTTGAATTGTGGCTAGACATGTCTGTACTTCTACAGGAAGACGTTGTAACCATAACCCTTTCAGTAATTGTTCGTCTTGTTTGCTTCCACTAATACGTTGCAATTCGCTTAAAAGATGGGATGGCTTTTTATCCCCAAGCTGTAAACCACTAACTAATTTTTGTATGCGTTTTTGTTCACTATCCGCAAAGTTTTTTATTATTGCTTGCTTGATAGCTTCGTACTTCTGAGTTGCTGGTGGATTCTGTATTGTGTTATAAATTTGTTCTAACAGCGATCCATCCAATGCTGCGATAACTGTGCCAAACTTTTGAGTATCGCCCTTTATGTTGTTGACTTGGAACCAGTAGTCCAACTGAATAAACCAAAGGTCAATGTTGTTTTTTATTAATGTTGGCATCGGCAGCTTTATTGCAGTGATTGTTGCGTTTTCATTGATTGGGTTAGTGTCTTCGGTTATCTTTTGCTCTTGAGTAGCCATTTTTTTTTATATATTCGACGTCGGCTTGGTCACCAATGTAGTGGTTTTTTATGTTGGGGTTTATTTCGAATTTAACACTCCGTATTGGTAATGGATAAGTTAATTTAACACTCCGTATTGGTAATGGATAAGTTTATTTATTTCTTATACTTAGTTATTATAAAATATTCTTAAAGTTAAGATTTATGTTTTTACGTCTTATTCACGTGCTGCTTTTTCTTTTTCCAAACTACTACTGGCGGGAACTGCGGCTATTGTTGTCTCCTTTGTGCCTTGTTGACAGTTCTTTTATTTATATTTTTTGGTGCTGCCACATATATATATGTTATTTATGTTTCTATTTCACAAACATTACATATTAAATTGTTTGATTTTTAATGCTAAATTAATTAATTTCTGCTAACAACACAAATACTTAATATTATCTGCTTACTAAGAAAAGCTCTCCTAGAACTTTCACAGAACTTTCTGACACATGAAAGCTATTTTACCAATGAAAATGACCAAATTTTAATTTAATCAACATATATAGCTTTAGTTGCAATGGAAACATGATACTAGCGTTTTATTCACTTTTCCCTGTATTAATATGACTATGCGGCTATATTGTACATGACTATGTATGTAACTGCGAAGAATTGTGCTTTCTGTGTTATAATTGTGATATATTTTTTGATAGTTACATATCAGAATGTAACATAAATAGCTTTAGTTGCAATGGAAACATGATACTAGAGTTTTATTCACTTTTCCCTGTTTTAATATGACTATGCGGCTATATTGTACATAACTATGTATGTAACTGCAATCAATTGTGCTTTCTGTGTTATAATTGTGATATATTTTTTGATTGTTATATATCAGAATGTAACCCAATGGGTCAGCCAATAGGCCTATGTCGATCTACCAGTGATCACCAGTATAACCTAACATACCAGAGTAATGTATTGCATTATTGTACATATGTACCGCAACGGCTTTATGTACTTCATCATCGGGTACACTCCCATATGCCCTAGTGGTTTTAAGTACCAGTCTGCGTACATCTATATTCATTTATTGGTTACTTTTTTCTATAGCAAAATGCTTTAAAAATACAACTCTGTGGTATGGTTTTGGCATTGATAAGCGAATTTGCTTTTCCATTTATTTATTTTTATTATTTATTGTTTTTTTGGCTGCAGTGGTTCGTTTGGTGTGAATTGCGCATTCTTTTTCTACTTTATTTTTCTTTTTTTCCTCTAACAACGAATCACAATAACAAAACGACAAGCCACAAGGGAATTTTTCGATAGAAAGCAAAAAAAAGTGAATCAACTTTTAAGGAAATTCAATGGGGAATTCAACCTCAAAAGGCGAATATGTTGGTGACCAGTTCGATGGCAAACAGAAATCTTCAGCATCAGCAAATTCAAATGATGCAACGACATCAGCTGTGACAACAGCTTCTGCCGCTGTCATGCTAAAGGTTGAGCAGTCCAGTACAATGAACAGATCAGCCTCTGGCGCAGATGTCAGCGAAAAATTCTTAACACAACTAGTGCCAATTGAAAAGCTATCAATACAACTAAAGGAGAGCTCTTCCAAGTTTGGTGTTAATGGCATTGTGGCTAATGTGTTTGTGGTATGGCATATTTGATTGGTGATTTAAATACACAAAAACAAAATGACTAATCTGCTGCATAATTTCAGAACCAAGTATTCCCTCTTTATAAAGATTTGGGTGAGCGTTTATTTCGTTTAATGCACATATCTTCAAAAGCAACCACATCTTACCTTGGCACAGTGGCATTTCGTCAACAATGTGAGCGTTTTCTTGGCATAATGGACGACGCCAAAGTGTTAGAATGTTATGTAAAAATGTTTGCACAAGAAGATAATCCTGACTTTATTGATAAAGAGGGCGTAACACGTCTTTTACTTACATGTTATACAATAGCAATGCAACATTCAGGCAACGCAGTGCGTTGCCCTGCGGTAAATAGATTATTTTCACATTATATTTTAAATTTATATATTATTTATTTATAATTATAGTTGAATCGCACATTTGAGTCAGTGACCAAGAGCATATTCTTTTCACACGACTGCTTAAGTATAGGCTATGTGTCCCGTTGGTTTGAACAAAATCTAATACGTTTAGTGCTGCTTGTTCACAAATATTGCGTGCATACGCTGTCTACAGCATATCGTGGCTTAGAGCAGCAACTAACCTCATGCGGCATAGAATTACAAACACCAGTGTTAGAGCAACGAAATCCATTCCCCGATTCAGTTGGTAATGGTGGTGGTGAGGATAATGCTTCATCAGCCCTTATGCCATTATCACAAGCTTGGTTATTAGCTGGTGCATTGCCACCACTTTATTCTAAACCGCAAACTGTTGCATCTCCCAGTAGTAATAAAGCTTCAGCAGCACAAATATTCAAAGAAAAGCTGTCAATGATGCCATCACATTGGACACTGCTTTATGATTCGAATGATCATGGTGTTGGTGCCAATCGCTTTTTGCATCATGTACTCGGCTATCGTGGACCCACTTTAGTTTTATTGCATACAAAGGATGGGCAAACATATTGTATTGCCGCACCAAATGAATGGAAGGAAACACATCTATTTACAGGCAGTGAAGGGAGTTGTGTTGTGCAGCTATTACCTAAGTAAGTTGTAAACATTGTGTGAATAGAGAAATTTGCAATGCTTAACAATTACGTCCAACTCCAAAATGTGTGAGTTTTCGCCATGTGATGCATTACAATGATGCCATAAGAAATAAGAAACTTATGGGAAACACTAAGTTTTATTAAATGTGACAAGATGAAAATCAAATGTGATATTCACATAAAGACTATCACAGTTTGAGCAACTTTTATGCTTCGCGGAGTGCAAAAAAACTCAACATATGCCACATGACATAGCGCTAAATCACATCATTGGAATTTGGAGATTAAAATGAATGCTGAGATACTGAAGATTCAGTTGAATTCGAATTTTTGAGATATATATATATATGTTTTTCTTTTACAGATTTGTGATATTAGAACAGAAACCGAACATTTTATACTTAAACACAAGCATACGTGGTTATCCTAAAGGATTACGTGCTGGTTCCGATCCACGAAAACCTATTTTATCGGTTGATGAACATTTTGAGAAAATTGATTGCAAAGGCATTGCAGCAGTGTTATTATCTATTGAGGTAAATATAAATAAAATATTTAGTATCACCTTTATTTGGGAACTGTCGTATTTGCCACTAGTACCTGTTATTTTAATGAATAACTTAATTTTGTTTTTTTTTTATTTTTTACAATTATCACTACTCTTATCTTAATATTATAGTTGCGGTGTTGTCTCCGTTTTCGTTATTTATATTTTTTGTAAATATTGGTATCGCCCTTAATTGTTTATAAGTTTATGTTTTCCGGGCTTTAAATATATAGTTTCCTCTCTTGTTTTATATTACCTTAGATAATAATACATTAAATAAAACGACATAAAACCTGGCAAGAAAGCAAATACTTAATTATCCCCTATGTTTTATATAATATTTATCATTAGAAATAATATTAGTTTATAATATTTATTTTAAAATTATTTAGAATAATCTTTTAATAAAGTTTTACATAATTAATTTTTTTATTATCAATTTTTTTTTATTATTATTTTTTTTTATTATTATTTTTTTTTATTATTATTTTTTTTTATTATTTTTTTATTATTATTTTTTTATTATTATTTTTTTATTATTATTATTTTTTTTTTTATTATTATTATTATTTGTTTATTATTATTATTATTATTTGTTTATTATTATTATAATTTTATTATTATTATTATTATTTGTTTATTATTATTATTATTTTTTTTATTATTATTATTATTTTATTATGGTAATTAAAATACTGTTTTGTATTATATTTAATGTATATTTATTAACTTCAACTTTTTATTTTTTTATTTATTTTTTAAAATTTTTATTATATTATATATTATTATAGCTCTTTAATTTATACACCTACAAAATCAGTCTAGTAGTTAAGACACCGATTCGACGAAGTTGGAATCCATTTCAGTTTAGATCACCCACAACTTATTTACATGTATATCTCTAATCTATAGGTGTCTAAAAAACTGTCTATATACACATTAATATTGACATATGTTTATTGCAAAACAACAGATATTAAGTTTTATATTATTAAATATATGTTTATATATATTATATAAATTATTTAACTTTGAGGAGTAAAACCTTCTAATCTCTAATCGCTTCAGTTGTATTTAAAAGATTTTAAAAAACAGTTGTTAAACAGTTGGGTAAATATATTCCGAGAACTGAATTAATAATTCTTAGTACTATTTTTTTTTTCTTTTAATAAATTTTTTTATGACTAACCTATTTGATAGCATAATTTCTTACTTTATTTATTGCTTTCGTCTTTATCTTTCACTTTCTAATTTGTCTTTATTTCTTATTCTATAATTGAATAAATTCAGCGTATTAAATTATGTTGTCCTTTAAACAGTCTGTTTAAATTTCCATTGGATTTCATTGTAGTGTTAAATGCATTATATCGTCCAAGTCTTTCTTAATGGTACGACCAATCCGACTTTATATTTTTATTGAACAAAAAATTTATTTTACAACTCCACGGAATATTTAAAAATGCTTCTAGTGTAGTTTACAGGCTATGGTTTGATATTTTATATATTCAGCAAAAGAAATGAGTACTATTCTAACTTAAATTAATGAATGCGGCGCAATCTTTTCATCTTAACAAATCTGAAATATTGTTTTTATACTATACTAAGTCCATAGGAAGGCATTTTTTTCTCAAAGTAAGCATATATATACATATATACCCCTGACCCTTGTTTTTATTCAATATATTCGAAAAAAAGACATTTTAAACTTAATAAATAAACATATACAAGATGAAATGGCTATGGATTGGTTAATATATAATCATCGATCAATACCAGTGGATTAAAAGCAATATATCCACAATCATGCACTCGTCAACATTGTCAAATTTTTATCCGATTGCGTATGGGAAATTCAAAGTTCTGTCATGAACACCTTTTGAGTGGCGATCAGTCATCAAACTATTCATTTTGTAATAGCATACCATCCATAGATCATATACTTAACAATTGCCCTTCTTTAGATTCCATTCGTAGTAATATCTTTTCATCAACTTACGTACCAGCCTATTATAAACAATTACTGTTAAAAATAAACTTTTAATATACCATATTAATATATTAAAGCCTGTATTCTGGGTACTAATATATAATTTATAAATTCCAAGCTGAAGACTCTGGCAGCAATCGCTGATTTTTTCCTATCTTAGTTATAAAATTTTTTATTTTGTAACTAATTATAATAATTATTTACAAAATTAATTAATTAATTATTTTGCAAGCCAATGCTAAATAGTTGTATACATATATAAATGTAAATTATTCTTCTAATTTTAATTCTTTAGAAAGATCACCTATAGACATAAACTACCAATGATAAGAGTATATATAATATATATATATTTTGGTTGTAGACATTTTAGGAGCAATTCTTATCGTATTGACTGAAACTTATTCTATTTAGTTATTAGAATGATTAGAGTTTACCCTTAAATACTTTAAATTTTGTAAATTAAGATTAGATCAATGAATTTAGATTCAGGTGGCATATAGACTAACAATTTATTTTCAATTATTTACATTTTTTACAAAAATTACATTATTTTAATACAAGAAACTATACCAAATAGTATTAAAATTATTTAAAGAATTAATCCAATTAACAATTGATATGTAGTTAACAAATAAATTCGTAATAAAATTTTAATCATAAAACAAAAAACCATATTTTAATAATATGTTAATAACATCTGTTTGTAAAACAAAAGTGCTGTAATATAATAATATAATAATAATAATAATAATATAATAATAGTCTGGCAGGTAGATTCAATTATATATTGACAATTATATGCCACGCATAAACTTTAGCGTCTTTAGCCATGTTACTTAGACATATTTTTTTTTAAATTAATATGTTAGCAAGAGATTTAGCCAGCGGATTGACATGGTTTTTGCGATGTGAAACACATTTCTGTCTTATTTTCTCGAACTCGACTTTAACACCATCAGACGTTCCAAAGCGAAATGTATGTCACGGGGCACCAGTTATCATTCTTAGAATCTTAGCTTGAGATCTTTACATGATTTCTGCATTTGACGAATAGGCATTGCCATATAGCTGTAAGCCATACATCCAGATTGATTTAATAACTTAGCTGTATAACAAGACGTAATTTTATTTTAAAAATTGTGACCGTTTAAGTATATTTTCTCTCTCTCTATCGCTTTCTCTCTGTCTTTCTCCCTCTCTCTCTGTCTTTCTCCCTCTCTCTCTGTCTTTCTCCCTCTCTCTCTGTCTTTCTCCCTCTCTCTCTGTCTTTCTCTCTCTCTGTCTTTCTCCCTCTCTCTCTGTCTTTCTCCCTCTCTCTCTGTCTTTCTCCCTCTCTCTCTGTCTTTCTCCCTCTCTCTCTTTCTCCCTCTCCCTCTCTCTCTTTCTCTCTTTCTCTCTTTCTCTCTCTCTTTCTCTCTTTCTCTCTCTCTCTCTTTCTCTCTCTCTTTCTTCTCTCTCTCTTTCTCTCTCTCTCTTTCTCTCTCTCTCTTTCTCTCTCTCTCTTTCTCTCTCTCTCTTTCTCTCTCTCTCTTTCTCTCTCTTTCTTCCTCTCTCTTTCTTCCTCTCTCTCTTTCTTCCTCTCTCTCTCACTTTCTCTCTCTCTCTTTCTTCCTCTCACTCTCTTTCTCCCCCCTCTCTCTTTCTCTCTCTCTCTCTCTCTCTCTCTCTGTTATGTTATATAAAATTTAAGATTAGCTGCAAAGTATAGAGTAAGAAGTCCTAAATTTTTTTGTTTATTATATTCACAAATTTTATATATTTAAGAAGTGAATATACGACTATATATTTGAAGCTATTTTAAAGTTGATTATTCCCTTCATGTAAAAGTTAATAATTTCATTTATAATATATTTTATTCTTATTAAATAGTTCACATATTTATGATATATGTAATATTGTATATTTATTAATTATGTTATACATTATATATCTTGCAATATATTTAGTAATTTTGTAAATCAAAATTGCTATCTCGCCGATTAAAGCTCAGTATTTGGTATATGTTCTCAAGAATCTCGTTGACTTATTATTTTTTTTTTATAAGTTGTAAAAAGTGTCGTAGTTAATTTATGATGAAGTATTTTTTAATTTAGTATTAAAATTTTTTACACAAAAACAAAAAAATATTTAATTCCTTGTTAATTGAATGTGATTTGGTTAAATTTAATTTTCATGTTTGTGTTTTCAATTTCTATTAAAAATTTTTTTTTTTTGCTTTATCACTTCTAATTCACATGATATTCAAAAAGATTTATAGCTTATTAATTGCCGTCTTATCACATTTGTTATAATTTATTGCACTAATAAACTGTAATTAGTGCTTCGCACTTTGTTAACATGATAATTTTAATCAATATTATAATAAACCGTGATTAGCAATTAACGGTTTGTTAACATTGATAATTTATATTACATATATTTCCAAATAAAAATTTGGATAAAAAGTCATAATCCTGTGTGTTATATGCCTAATAAATTACTCATTATTCAATTATTCAAAAATGTATGACTCAATTGTGGTTAAAAAATTTGATGTGCCTGACTACTTCTAATCTAATCTCGTTAAAAAATCCATCATTTACATTATTAATAGGTTTTCCAACTATTATAATTAGCTTTTAAGTTACTTGGGTCTATTGTTCAAAGATTCAGCCGCAAAACTTAAACATAACTTAAATAATGTTTTTAAAGTAGTTAGTGGTTCAACTAATTCCTCACCCTAACTTTTGCCGCGTGAATAACGTTTAAGGTAACAAAGATAATATACTATATTGAACTCTCGAACATACAGATATAACATAACGAGTGCATAAATGAGTCAGCAGAATTCAACAGAATCTATCTCATTATCTGTGCCTGTTTCATCTAAGCTAGTACTAAAGTGTGGAGGGAGCATTAAATAGAGAATAAAAGACGATACTGTATTGAACTTCTGGATATACAGATGTCCGGGATATGATCATGAGCAAGTAAGCTGTTCATATTCTCCCCATCTAAACTTGTATTGTAATGTGAAGAAAACTGATTTAACTTCATGTCATATGGATATAATATAGTAAGCGTGTAAATTAATTTAGTAAAACTCGTTAGCTTTAAAGCATAATCTAGCTTACCGAGCATACTTCCTTCATTTAAGTTAGTACTGAAGTGTAAACAAAATATTAAGTAAAATACTAGAAGTAACATTAAGTTAAGCTCCCGATTACACATATACGTACATAATAGATAATGAACGTGAAGATGCTGTATCAAAACTCATAATTTTTTCAAGAAAATCGTCTTTAAATTTGATATAGCAATGCAGAAATGTTTCTAAAGTAGTTAATGGTCTTACGGCATATGCATTACATCCATTAAGGTTAGATCAAAGCATTAAAACTTCTTTAAAAATTGGTGTTTAAACTCAAGTACCTGCACAAAGATCTGGTCTTTAGATTGATTCTTTATCATGAATTTCAAACTCAAAAATTTAGTAAATGTTTTTGCGTTTATTTAAAACTTTTTAAGTAATGTAAAAGTTAATACCTTCATAAACCAATTGAATGCTTTATGAAGTGCATATTAATTCATATACTCACTCACCTATTTTATCTCGCCTATATAAAGTAACCTTTAATATATAAGATTTTATTTTTTTTTAACAGAATTATTGTTTTAGTAACGACTAAATTGAAGTTGTTGTTGTGTTGAAAGGGATAAGTAACACTTGATCAATTCAAAAGACTAGTAATTTCAGGTTGTATATTCGTCACTCCTGATATCTAATTATACTCTTAATACCACTTAAGTACCACTCTAAAGTATTATCTCGGCTCAGTAATTCAATACTTTGAACCATTGATGATACTGTTAAAAAACATTTTATGTTACTCCAAATCACAAGTTTGCAAACTTGCTCAGTTTAAAACCAATTTTAAAATTAGAATTATATTGTAGAGCACTAAATTTATATCGTATTTATAAACTTTATATAATACGAAATAAACTCATTTTTTTGCGTAACGTTGGTACTTGTATTGCTACTATTCTATATTATGACGAGGAGACCGTGCTCCATTTCATGTGTCAGTGCCTTTCTTTAAAACCAAAATCAAAAGAAGGTCAAAGATCAAAAATCTTCAGGGCCCCTTTTCTTGCCGACTTGACCGAGCTTATTTAAACTGTAGTGGGCTTTTGGGCACAAGGCCGCTACTCCAACCTACCGAACTACCTACTCTAAATTATGGACACAGTATAAAAACTTTTAGACTTCGCACTAACTGTTTCAAGTTAGAAGTTGTAGAGTTACATATTTGTTTTAGCATATAGATATGCACTAAAAAGGGGAAAGTTCAGGTTTAAAATAGATCTGCTTTTAAAATCGAATATATTTCAAGCGAATATTTTGCTTACGAACACAACTGACACAATGTATTTATTCGTGTGTACTTACATATTTTGTATTTCATAATAAGAGTTTGATACGAAATATTTCGGCTCGCGAACAAAATGTTCGCTTCGTGAAAATGTAGCATGAGAATATCTATTAAAATGAAACATAAAACGAGGATTGTTTTAGGTATGTCTCTTTCCCTAACAATTATTAAAATTAAAACACAATTTTGAAATACACATATAATTTTATTAAATTTCATAAACATTTTTAAAATTTCATTTATATTAGTATAACGCATTTATTTACATAATCTTTATGTCAGTAAAAATATATTTAAGTATAAATTTTGCATAAAAAATAAAAACAGATATTGACGAAATTTTGAAAATATTCACAGTAATTTAGAATTTAATTTAATTTCTTCTTCGTATTCTTAAATCGTTTCTTTTATGTATACTTATTAAATAATTTTGGGTTAACTGAAAGCTGTTGAAGAAAATATAACTCGGATTAGATAAAATATGTATAGTATACATACACATATATATTATTCAATTTAATTTTTCAAAAAAAAATTGATTACTTAAAAATAATTTACAGTTTTCTCTATAATGTTAGGTATATTTTGAAAGCATTTTTACTTAATACAGTAATTAAGGGATATGCTTTTGGTGTAAAATTGATTTTATAATCTGTGTTGCTGCGACCCAAAAAAAAAAATGCAAAGCACAGTACAGTCTTTAGCCGACGAGCAAAATTTTCGTACGCTGGATACTTTACTGTAGAGCACAATATTCGCAAGTTCGCAAGCGAAAACTCAGTTTGGTAGATGCTTGCTTCACTTTTACAGTGTACGATATTCAATGTAGAATTTAAGTATAGACAATTGTATAGAAGTCAAGACTTGCTAAATATATTAGATTGAGTAAAAACTATTGAGGTTTTATATTACTACTTGATTCTTTCATATGTACTTATTTATTGTATTTAATAGTTAGGATATGTTATTAATAAAAACAATATCCTAACTTAAGATTATAGCTGTTTGGGCCTTCAGTCCAAGATTCTATTATATTTTTATTATTTTATAATAAATTTGTCATACAAATTTATTACTTTAAGAAAAGTTTTTAAAATTTACTCAATCTTATATATCATATAATTATATCATATTATATATAGTATTATATCGATTTGCGTATGTACAGCACAAAGAAAAAATTATTGTTTATATGTTAATAATCTTCGACATATAGGAGAATAAAATTTATTTTACTACAATATTATTAACAATTTATTATTTTTTTAAAAAATTTTTCTTATTGAAGAGCACATTAATAAATATAATATATATTTATTATATCATATACACATATATTTATTATATTGTATATATATATATATTTAATCTATTTTATATATATATATTTATTATTTTTTATATATATATATATATTATATATATATATATTTAATAATAAAATTTCAGACTTTAATACATATAATAACATTATATATTATTTTAAATATAATATATCCAGACTCGTGGCCAGAAATGTACTTTGGGTGTTGCTTATAATTTTAATAATAATAAATAATTAAATAATAACTTGACTTTCATTTAAAAAATCTTGCCAAAGTTTATCCCATGGAAACATCCAATTCGTAAGCAGTTATAGTGTATTTATAATAAATATACTTGTACAAATGTATAAATATAGTTTATCGATTCATTTCGAATGGCTTCAACGTGTCTGAATATATATATATATATATTATATATTATATATATATATATATTATATATTATTATATTATATTATATTTAAAAATATAAACACAACGTTTGATCAGACAATAGTTTCTTATGGAGATTACAATAATAAAAGAAATTTCTTTCAGGTTTGGGGTTGTGGCGATAAGACATCACGGGAAGTGCAATTGGATATTAAAAAATGGCAAATAAAAGAGGCGGAACGACAACGCACAGTTAAACTGACAGCTGCAGATTGGATGGATCATCCAGATCGTTATCTTTTAGAATTGGGAGGTCGACAAAATTATAATAATTAAAAGTCGAAAAAAAATAACTAAGTTGTATACAGCCGAAAAAGACATTTAAGTTGTTAATTGTGCCTTCCTCTCTCTTCACTGCAATCTTGGGTGAATTGTGATTGATCCAGTTTTTATTAAATTTAAATTTTTTTAAAAATTACTTAAATTTATTTTTTAATATTAAAAAAAATTCTTCAACTTATTAAAAAAAAGAAAGTATTTTACAAACAATCCAGCCTAACTATAATTTTCCTTAAATCTGTTTTCCTTTTGGCCACACAGTGATTATATATACGTATATTGCTATATATGTATATTTTAAATAGTATTTTTTTTTTGTTATTGTAATTCGGTTTTTGGTATTTCTTTAATGAATATTAATTATTTTTCGTATTTTTTTTTTTTTTTAATTATTATCAAATTATTTCTTTCTTTTGTTTTCAAAATTGAAATTGTTTGTAAATTGTAGAATGCATATTTCCTTATGTATTATATATGTACTTAATATATTTATATGTATGTATATTTCTGTTTTGTTAAATTGTCTTAATTGTTTATTTGATTTTTTTTAAATTTCAACAAAAAAGTATTAATATAAAAATATAAAAAAAATATATATATAAATGAAAACAACAAATATGGAGATTTTCTTTTAAACTCTACTTTAGTATAATTCATTACTTTTGTTATTTGTGGACTTATACACTAGAAACTATTTCACTAATATGAGTTATCCAGTGAGTACCCTTATAGTAGTATTGATTGTTTAAATGCCACAACGATATTGTTGTTAAATAATAAACCTTATAATTAATCTTCAAGAATTTTGGAATATAGACGAAGAGTACCTAATAAGACCCAACGCTGACTTGTTGAAGCTAAATAAAGGCTAAAATTCAAATCTTTTAATTTATCAAAGCTCAAAGATTAATAAGGACTGATCATGAAGAACCATTGTGCGTATATATTGATTCTATATTATACATCAGTAGTAGTAAGATATAAGGAACACCCACAAAAACCTGGAATGTACTATATTAAAAATGACAAAAGAACTATTGAAATGAGAAACTAAAGACATATAGTACTTTCACCATAAAAAAATTTGGTTCCAATTTTAAAAACGTGCGTACGCACGTATGGACCCTATAAATTCTTTCCCTTCACGAGACTGTATTTATTATATTGACTTAAAAGTTTTGAGCCCATTTTTGACCATATCAGATCTACTGTACTGTCCACTTCTTTTCCGCATAAGTCCTTCATAACCTGCAATCACTACCCATCCACTTTCCCACCCATGTGATCGTCTTGTATATCTTTTTATGTTCTCTGCTTACAGGCCCCAGCTGTACAACAAGTGTACAGCGTACAAAATATATATTGAATGTAACGTAAAATGCAGGAAAGAATGAATTAAAATAATGAAGAAATCCAAAACCCACCCCGGTCGGTGAAGCTAAAAGACAATAATGACCTTATATAAGAAAAAAAAAAAACAAAATAGTTTGATATGAAGATGAAGAATATCAAGGGTAATATTAAATATTCATCGTGTGACCGGAAACTTAATTCCCCACTAGTTAACGTTTAAAGATGTAAAAATTTGAATAAAAAAGAAACTATTGCGCATTTTTACTGTGATGGTTCGGATTTAGTTTCTAGACTTTTAGGGAGGGGTTCCTAGATAGCTAGTAGGTAGGACTGCTTATCCATAAAGACTCAAACTCTACAGAATGAGTTTTGTTTTAGTTCTTGGAAATCTTGTCAAGAATGTGATCTTAAAACGACGAAGAATCATTTAACATAAAACGTACATGAAAAGAAGAATGTAAGAAAGAAATTAATGGGAATTAAAGGTGTAAGAAAGTCGATTACGTGGACGAAATTATTTAACGGAAAAGGTAGCGAAATTGACATATCACAATATGTGTTTTCTGATCATTTTAAATGATCTTTAAAAGATATTCTTAATGTCATAAAGTTATTATTAAAATATGGATATCTATATATAAATAATTTTTCAACCATTAACGTTTAAGAAAAAAGTTCCACCATATCATGAGAAGTAGTATAAAAATAGGGAATACAAAAAATACAACAGAATGAAAAAAAAGGGTGTAAGGATGAAATTAATGGGAATTACATGTGCAGAAAAAACGATTACGTCTGGACAAACTTACTTAACGGAAAAGGTATAAAAAAATTGAGTATACTTTGGATTTAAATCCAGAAAAATATTCGCAGCAATAGAACAACGTTTAAGGATAAAATGCTTTGAATTTATATGTACTGTCGATTTTGGTAATAGATGGAAGATGTCACCGTGTGTAAAGTTACCATTGGAGTACGTATTAAATGTGGCCGGTTTAATCAGCTTTAAGTAAATTTTAATACCTCTCCTGCTGCTTTAGTCACTCATAATTCCACGTAAGAAATATTAAACGAAATAGAACTGCTAAAGTTGCTGCAACAGTGTGAAGTCGTGAAAGTCCACATCGATAGTGAATTCCTGAAATTTTGTTGATTCCTACATTGCAGAAAATATCGATACACATATTCACGTAAAATAAAGAACGACGAATTTTTTCGAAAGTAGTTTATTCTATTCTTCTACAAGTAATATCTTCTTCAATTGATATATATACGTTTACCAGGAGTCTTTACAAATATTTAAGGTCCTTAATGATCACGAATAGAGTACATATAATTGTATGCTTAAGTTATAACTTTGCGTCGTTTCGCAGGGTGTGAGTATTCCGGTATAAAAATATATGTTAAACTATCATAATTACTGTCTTTATAATTACCACTAATTTGAAATCAGTTGTTGTAATAGTCCTAATGCCTTAAAACTAATATGATTCGCAGAACTAACGTCATTTGTATTACTTTTAAGACATTTAAATAAACGATTCATAGGTTTATATAATGTAGAAAGGCATAACTTGTTTAAAGACAGATAATACAATACGAAGTACTACTATTTTGAACATATTTATTATATCTAATAGTCACATCAATGAGATGTTTAAGGTCAGTATGGTTTACAACGGTCGCACATTTCTAAACGAGTTGTCGACACAATTGAATAGTTCTTTTCTGTATCCAAGAAGTATAACTTTTGATAACACTTGACACTTGACACCGTTGGCTATCTATTTTATTGTTGTAAGTCACTAACAATAGAAAATGTTATACAGTTTATAGGAACCTATATACTATAGCAGACTTCTCTATATATCCAGGCAAGATAAGTGATTTTAGTACTCGTTAAATTGTAAGTATTTTAAGAGACTGTTACTTCTCTATCACTCATATAGTTTATCATTTAGATCTTGTTGTTGTTAGTAACTAACAGTAGAAAATGTTAATCAGTTTATTGGAACTTATATACTATAACAGGCTGCTCTAAACACCTAGACAAAATAAGTGATGATTGCACTCGATCGATTTAGACTATTTTAAAATACCGATGGTTATCTATCACTTATAAAGGCTATTATTTAGATCTTCTTGGTGTAAGTAACAAACATTAGAAAATGTTCAACAACTTATAGAAACCTAAAATATAGTTATATATTATAATATATTTCGATATTGTTATTGTAGGAAACTATCACTAGAAAATGTTAAATAATTTTTAGAAACCTATACTATAACGGGCTTCTCTACATATCCAGACAGAGTAAGTAAAATTAGCACTCGACAGTGATATTAGCACTATTTTAAAATACTGTTGGTTATCTATCGCTCATATAGGCAGGCTATCATCTAGATTCTTTTGTTATTAATCACTGGTAGTTAAAGATATCAACACTTTTGAAGCTGACCCCTATACAAAAACTGAACTCTAAAATTTTCGAGTTTCGTATTACCCAATAAAAGTCACACACAGAGAAGTTAGTTCTGTTGGGGTGATTAGGCTTGCCTTTTTTAAATCAATATCATAGTTGTGATATTAATAGGTAAAATACATCCATAGGTTATATGAGAGGCTACGTTCCAGAGACAGATACAGGAACTGATGATTATGAGTGGGAAAGCATAAACCAAATTTTATGTCGTTTTAAAGAAAATTATTAACTAATTAATTTTGAAAAATAAATCCAATTTATATAAATGTTTGTACAAATTTTTTTGGTTTGTATTTAGTTTTTTTTTTTTTTGAGCTTATAAATTTTGTTTTCTATATATAATAGTATAGTCGTGTTAAAGCAGTAATCTGACTGGCAGTCAAAAACAGAAATTCCATAAATAAATACAATTTTCAGTTTAAAATATTAAAATTATTTTTTATATAAGCACAGCTAATATTCTTCATTAATATAATATGTATGTATATTTTATATATGTATTGTATATAAGTATGTATGTATATATAAGTATATAAACATCTAAAATATCTACTAAAAATATTTATATAATGTAGTGAGTAGGTAAATTTATTTTACATATATTTCCAACTATAAATACACTTAATTATTTTCAGTTTTTAATTTTTAATTTTTCATTACAAATTTCAGATTTCAGATTTATTCTTTTTAGTTAATTTTTTTTATTTTTATTTTCATGAATTTTGTATATCGTCAATCACGTGTATATGATGAATCAAATAATCAATCTATCTATCAATTAATAAACTAGTCAATCACGTAGTAGTTTCAATTTTACACATATAATATTTGTTATATATATATATATATATATATATATTTATTTATTTTTATTATATATAGTATATAATTATTTTTAAATCGTAGCATTGAATAATTCAAGCACAGTTCATATTCATATTTTCTTTTATTTTTTACTTCTGGACGTTCTTTAAGAATTCTTTGGAGATAATAAAGCTCTGCTATGCTCTAAAGAAAAGGTCTACAGAAAATAGTATAATTTATTGTATATAATTTGTATATATATACTTTACACATATTGTCGCAACGAATTTTAATTTTAATTAAATAATTTTTCATTTATAATACAGCTGAAAACCAATCTCAAAAAAGGCCACTTATTTTCGCTAAAACAATTTTTATAATGGAACAATAATACAGCACATTCGGAGATATATGCGAAGCTCAGCATTGCTAGTTGAATTTTAAAAGTAAATTTATTCCTTTCATATATAAGACTTTTTTATGTTAAAGAAATATCACACAAAATCAAACACCATCAAAAGTAATTTGCACCCAAAATCTATACCTTCAATATTTGAAGAATTGAAGAATTAATATAACGTGAACAGTGGGAACTCATCCGGAGACGTATCGAAACGGTTTTGAGAAAGCCAAAATCGAGCTAAGTCAACATATATGAAATATTAAAGTAACTTGTAAAGTGAAGACATATATTTTAAGGAGGGTTAACCAATAAATTAAATAGTAAGTAGTAGGAGACAAAATGAAAGACTACTAATTAAACGTGTTTAAATAGGTTAAGCGACTTTAAAATGGTTAAGTTTCCTATCTTTTTAATGAAAAAAAAAAAAACAAAAATAACCAGTCTGAAAGGAAAAAGACAGACAGAAACAGATAAAATAATTATTTATATCAGTAAAAATGAAATATCCTATCCAGATGAAATCTGTTCCATCTTATTGATTTAGTAATTATTCATAAAAACATAGAAGAAACTGTCTGAGCAGACTTAGATAGAGTGAAAGAGATAAATAACGTATCTTTCTTCTTAAGAAAATTATTAATAAAAAAAATAAATTCCAACAAGGAAGAAATAAACATAATCTAAAGAAACTAAGAGAGAGAGACTGAAAAGGATAAATAGTATTTTTTTTAAATAGAATTATCAAAAAACTTATACTCATCTAAGGTTTAAAGAGATTTAAACCTAAAGACATAAAAAGGATCTTTGAGAGACAAAATAGGCAACGATGAAAGGACTAAGAGAAACTGAAAAGGATAAGAAGTATTTTTTTTTTAATAGAATTATCAAAAAACTTATACTCGTCTAAGGTTTAAAGAGATTTCAACCTAAAGACATAAAAAGGATCTTTGAGAGACAAAATAGGCAACGTTGAAAGGACTAAGAGAAACTGAAAAGGATAAGAAGTATTTTTTTTTAATAAAATTGTCAAAAAATTCATATTCAACTAAGGTTTAAAGAGATTTCAACCTAAAGACATAAAAAGGATCTTTGAGAGACAAAATAGGGAACGATGGATTAAAAGGAATAATTTTTTTTTTCATTCTTGTAGTACTATTAGTAAATTAAATATTCATATCAGCAAAGCGAATAAAACCAGAATGTAAAGAGCCGAAGAGACACTAAACGTGGTAAAAGAGGAAAAGTTTTTTCTGTTATGGAATAATTAATAAAATAAAGAATCCAGTGCATAGGAAATATCTAAAGTTTAAAAAGCCTACAAGAGACTGGAAGGGACAAGAAGCCTTTCTTTGTAATAAGATTATTTATAAAATAAATATAAATAAATTCACATCAGTATAGAAGAAATAATAACCCGAATAAAAACAGACTTAACAGTGAAAAAGATAAGGACTACTTCAGCATGAAAAAAAAATACCTGAATTTAAAAAGTCCTAAGACAGATAGCAAGGAATAAGTAATCTTTCTTTAATAATGAAATTATCAATAAAATATTCATATCAACAAATAACCAGAATATAAAGAAGCTAAGAAATACTAATTTTGTTCTAATAAGACTGTGATAAAAAAATGTTATATTATATTATGATGATTATAATGCTTACATATCAAATAAAAACGGTTCCGATAGAAGATCAAGTTAACTGTTGGGATAAATTATATCAAATTAATCAAATCAGAGTAAATTTGAAATAAGAGGAGAAGAGGAATTGTGTAATTATGAAAAAATTTATATATCTTAAACATAGCATGCTCAAGCTCAGAAGAGTCAAATCGTTAGTGCAAAATTCTGTATACCTAAACCTTGCCGTAAAACAGAGTCTACAATTAAAACTTTTGTTCATAATTATGCCAGTTTCAGAAATTAAAGTTCATGTTTTTATAGACATAACATCTATTCGTGCCAACTTTAAACTTATAGGCCTACAACCCACAATATCTAACCACAGCACAATGAAAATGTCTCCATAATAAAAGAGCGTACCAACATCTACAACTCAAATATAAATACATTCTACAAAAGCTGAAAACTGGCTGAGATGATAAGACAAATGTTTGAATAAACATAGAAATGCTAGGTGTTAGAGAATTTAGATGACTTAGCCTTAGAATTGGTCTAAGGTGTTACAAAATATTAAATTTTAATTAATTTTTTTTTTTTTTTGATTTTTATCTTAGTTTCTTTGGAACATGTCTTATGAAACACTTTTGATTAAATTATAGAACATAGAAAATTTTAATATAAATGTTTTATTCTAAAACAAAAACCGACTTGAAATATTTAAACTCTAAAAACCAGAGTTTAAACGTAAATAGTTTCCAAGCCTATTCCGATAGAACATTCGTTTGCACATCAGATTATAATAAATATTACCGGCAGACTGCATTATCTATATAATGCAGAAAATATAGAACAAAAGTGTACACCTTTTTTTTTGAAATACTAGCAATTAGTTTTACTTTTATACTAAGTTGCAAAGCTTTAGATCAGAATAGGATTTTAAAATTTTACCCTTCAATTACATTTACTAAATTACTACTAAATATACAGATATTTAATATCAAATAACAATATTTGCACAGTTATAATTTATATTGTTAGATTCAAATAAAATGAAAGCAGAGTCTTTTACTAAGGGGTTGTGACAGTACTATAAAAATTAGTATGGCTAAGTTTAAGAAATTAGTATGTGTTTAGATTTTTGTTACTCAGAAATAAAATCCAAAAAAGTATAAATAGATTTCATAAAATATGTTTTTTTGGAATTAACATATATACTGATTTTGTAGTTAATTTAATGATCCAATTGCTATATAAAATAAGGGTTTATTATTCTTTAAGATCACAAAGCGCTAGTTGTTGTAGTAGAAGGCAAAGCGTTGATTGTAAGACAAAATAAAGAATATTACCCAAAGTTTCAATAGCGATTAGGTTAACATTCTGGAGCTCCTTTCAAATGTCATCTCTCTCAAAAAAAAAAAAAAAAAAAAAAAAAAAAAAAAAAAAAAAAAAAAAAAAAAAAAAAAAAAAAAAAAAAAAAGTCTGCTTCCTGGGTTTCCAGACGGATTATAACGCAACATCTAAAAGTGGTAACTCGGAGTTGTAATGTTTTTAAAATACAATTTCAACCATAAGAACATCATTATTGTTTTACCATGCATTATAATATCAATAAATGGATTGAAATTATTATTAAATCATTAATGGGAGTTGTAATTATTTTACTTATTCCATGTTGACTGTCATCGTTTTTAGGTTCAACCATATATAGTTTATTTAAAAAAAATTTGCTTTCTTTTCTCATTCGTTAAATCACACACCACTGTTCACACTATATGATTACAACAAAATCACTATCTCAACAGAACAAAAGTACCTCTTCATATTCGCATAAAGGATATTTGGGTTTAGCAGGAAGTTTTAACCCTCAAAAATCGCAATCAAAATTAAATTTCGCTTGTCGTTTTGTCGTTTTTTAGAAAAACTGTCTTTGGAACTAAACTGCTTTCGTTTCGAGTATTAAATGTTTCTTAAAGTTTTTAACATAAATAAATAAGAGAACGAAAATATAATTATTAAAAATCTAACAATAATATAAATTTTTTTAAAATTCGAAAACACAAAAAATTGAAAGTAAAACATGTGGTCAACGATATACAAATTATAAATATTTAAATAATAGTAGTCATTATAAACAGAAAGCTAATAAATATCTATATAACATAATGAAAATAGAAAGTATATATAAAAACCTAAAAAAAAAAAAATACATAAAAATAGTTCGTAGTTTGTAATGAGGCGATGTGACCTATCAGTCGTTTGGTGTAGTTGCTGTAACATTTGACTTAATTTCTTTAATATTATTATTTTTTAAATATTATAATTAGCTATAAAATGTTTATATAAATGAGAACTATATCACATAACTGAACTCAAGCGACCAATAGGTTACATGCCACATACTACTCATTCAAAAGTTGTGTAGATTTTGTAGCGCATTGAGTTGTTCACATATGCTTAGCAAAAAATGCCTCCAACTGCAATTGATGGCTATCAAACGTTATTACACATATAAATAGTTTAGACTCATTAATTGCAGTGGGCCTGCATAATTGCTATTACATACACAACTACATACACATTTTAATCGTATTCAACTATAGTATTATGTTTTGTTCTTTTAAGTGATATATTCTCTGTCTCTGTTCGGTCGTCCTAATTGTGTATCGTCTAGTAATTGTAGGTGTTCGTCGTTTAGCCCATCATCGTCGCCATCACCTTCGCCCTCACCCTCACCCGATGAACTTAACCAATCAGAGGAACTGTTGCTGCACCCAGTTGACAGCTTCAAGCTACTGGAAAAGCCCACCGATACTGATTCGCTAGCCGATGGGTTTAATATAAGGCTACTGTAGTCATTATGATGTCATCTAGTTGAGCCAATGAGTGATGCAAAATCATCACCTGACTCTGGAATGGGACTATGTGTATTGCCAACATTGCGAGCCTGTAGAAAGCTTGTACCGCCAGCAACTGGCGCTCCATAATGGGGTGAATAGTCACGTGTATGCGGTTCACGTTTCTGTATACTTATGCCGAAGTTAGAGTGGGATGCGGAGGAGGCGGACATAGAGGCTTTGGATGTGTTGGGGCGTGCGGCTGCTAATTGGGATTGAGATGGAGAATCTGTAGTTATTGCCACATCACAAACTGGTAGCACTAGACTATCTGTAGCTCCATAGCGATTGGCGTTAGCCAGCGTTTTAGCATAATTCGAATTGTAAGTTTTTCTATTACCTGAAATATTGGTGTGTTCAGCGTTACCGGTACTGACATCTCCCATAGCTGCATCCTCTTGTCGTTTATGGATTAAATATTCTGATTCACTACTAGATCGTCGTGGACCACGCGATAATGGTTGATAATTACTTCGTCCCTGGAAACGACGACTTATCGAACTGCTTACTACACCAAGATGCTCGGTAACGTCTTCTTGCATATCGGATATATCAATCATGGATAGAAAAGCACGGCACCAATTATTGTTGGGATTATTCCAATATTGAGGTGAATTGATATGGAAAGGATGGTGAGGAAAACTATAGATATGTGCTACTGCAGCGACAAACATTTCAAAGCAGATCAGAAAATTCTGTAATAAAATAATTAAAATAAATATTCTAATCCATACTTAGATGATTTAAAATTTAATGAGAGAGCATATTGTGATAACTATGCGAAAATAATAACCATAATCTCAAACATTCACTACACTTTTCCAAATATAAAATAAATCTCTGGTATAATTCTTTACTTCGCAAATATATTATAAATTCAAATTAAGTTTTAATTTCACTTTATAAAAATAAATTAGTAATTAATATTTTTGCACTCTCATATTGATAATTCCATTCACACTTACCTGCAACATAGAGGCAAGATTTGTGTTATCGACTCCATCTATTGTAAAAATCCGTGTGATAATGCCATAATATACTAAAATATTAAGCAAAACTCCTTGGCTGTAAATTTAAAAGAGCGAATGAAAATGATTAAAGATGAGAATTTAGTGCATGTAGTCTGTCAATGGAATTTGTAAAAAGAATTCAAGGGATATAGTGATAGAATATCATTAATAATCAGCTGTTTATGGGTAGTGCATGTCATCAGATGTATAAAGTTTCTCAAAATGGTTTATGGTTATAGTTATACTCTTCATAATACTACGTTCATTGATGAACTATTGCATCATAATATAGTATTTGATAACGAATATCTAGTACCTAGATATCTAGATACATTACTTGTTTTTATTTTTTTTTCAAGTTTAAGACAGAATAAAACACAGACATTTTGTCTGTTGAACGTTGTGCCCAGCGCTAAGAGAAATTTAATTTGATTTCACAGTTTTCTTGATAAATTTAAATGGATCGGATAGAGAGAGAATAGAGAGAACTTTAAGACCCAACAATCTCAATCTTTGTGCAAATACCAAGAAATAACAGACGTAATAGTCTACGTTGTCCAAACTCACAAAGTTTAATTAAATGTAACGAAATAATATCTATCTTTATGCAAATACTGGAAAATGTAGAGAAAAGATAAAATCTCTTTATTTTTCATATTCTCGAAACATGCTTGTTTATACCCTAACAATCTCAATCTAGTTATTGAAAATACTAAGCAAAACAAGGGAAATGCTCTGTCTTGTTAACTTAACTGATTCATGTTTGATATGTTGGATTTGTGATGATACCCATAATGGCCATATGATCTCTTTTTCTGTTATGTCTTATGATGACTCCGATCAGTACTTTGAGGTCATAATTCGAATAGCTATAAGTTCAATCTATAAACATACACATTGGTTAAAGTGTTCATCTATTAAAATTGTAAGATAGGTAGAGTCCTTTATATACAGTCGAATTGCGATAATTCGTACTCCGATAAATCGAAAACATCAATAACCCGCAACAAACTATTAGTTCCTTAAAAAACCTTGTCAATTTGTAAAATTTCAATGAGCATTAAACCTCTTATAATTCGTAATGCAGAACAATAAACCTGTCTGCAAATTCAAGATGTTTCAAGAACATTCGCAGTTTTCCAATGCTTTACCAACACAATAAGAAGGCGTGGATGACAATGGATCTATTTAACAAATGGCTTCAGATGCTAAAAGATAGCATAAAAACAAAAAATCGAAATTTACTGTTATTTATGGAAAACTGTATAGCGCATAATGAATCCCCTAATCTCAGCCCCGTAAAAATAATTTTTTTGCTAGTAAACACCACTTCCAAGCTGCTACTCCTTGAGCTGGGTGTTAAAAAAAATTTAAATTATTTTACCGCAAGGAAATGGTTATTAATCTAGCTAATAGCATTGATGAAAAAGAAGAGTTCAAATGTACGCTATTTACGGGAATGCAGATCTTGCATTCAAAACTGCTTCCGGGCTTGCGGTTTTAATAAAGATTTAAACTAAAATTTATGTCAAGTCGAACAACATAGATTATCTATGGGACCAAATATGTGAGAACTTTGAAAATGTCAACCTTTTCGATGATTACCTGAACATAGATAAAGACGTAGCTGTATCTGGTATATCAACTGATTATGATAGTTTCAAAGAATTCAAATCCAAATCCAAATCGACCATTCAATAACTATGACATTATGTTTCAAATCATAATATCCAAAACAATGTTTTTGATTATTTATTAAATTGGGAAAAATAAATTGAAGAGATAGGCGAAAAGAATCTGAAACAATCAATTTTAAAGTTAAAACTTGATCTTTCTCTATATAATTTTTAATGTTTTTATTTTCTTATTAAATTAATAGTTGCAGGATGTAAATACATATGTAAATTGGTTTATTTAACTCTAATAAAGTTATATATAAAAAATATGTGAAAATCAACTGAAATCTAAAAGCCCCATTAATTCGTATTTTCTTCTTGTTCATCTCGTTGAATCAAAACCCGGATAATTCGGAAACCCCTCTAAATCAAAAAAAATGCTTTTCCCTAGCGATTTCGAATTATTGCAATTCAATTATATAAAGATATGTATACGAGTAAAAGGATAATACAGAATAAACTATCTTAAATAAAAATTGAAGGGATATCTAAGTCAAATTGACACTCATGTTGAACGTACAACCTTTTAAACTGACCCACGTTTTAGACGAGCACACGGATATCAGTATAAAAGGAACACTCCTATTGCATTGACACCACTATTGAATGGATATATCTGTTAAATAGACACCACTATTTAACGGATACACTTATATTCAATGTAATACCTTCATAACTCGAAAATGTTTCTAATATAAAATTATTTTCTATCATTATTTGGAACAACTGGCTTGTTATTAGTGTTCTTAAAAACCGAAAACCTAACCTGAAGAAATAAAAGCTGACTAATAATGAGAGAATTATCGTTACATTCAATATTTTGAATTTTCAATGTTTGAAAGTATCAACGATTAAAACAGTTACCAATAAATCGAATTAAATATAATTAAGACATGTTCATTGCTATTATTATTGTTGGTATTATAAATAATAATAGTAATGATAGAATATAGAAAAATAAAAAACAAAAGACACTGATTTTAGCATATGGTTTTGCCAAACAATGTACTATAGTTGTAAGAAAAAATTTTCTGTGCTAGATAAAAATTTCATATCAGTGGTTAAAGTGGTACAAAAACACAAAAAACTTATTACGATTTATATAGTAATTGATATGAAGCGTGTAACAATCAATTCTCAAATGTTCTTGTAGAAATCGTAGTTAAAAACATATTTTTACAGCAGTAAACTTTATCAAAAATCTTGTGCCGATTAATGCATACGTTTAAAAAGAGAAAGTGAAACCAGTTGATGGATATGATAAATACATTCTTTATATAAATATAGTTATTAGCTAATATGGGTTCCAAGAGCGGTTCACTACCCCAATGTACAACAACATCAGCTAATAGAGTCAGCAGTTTGCATGTTAAAAAGTAAACACAAATTGGAATTCTATGAAGGTGACATCATTCATTGCCTCATCTGAACATAGATTAATTTAAAGTCAATTCTTACAATTCCTTTGCTTACATCTAACTTTTTCTGCACTCTCTCCATTCTATTCTATAATGCAAATTTTGCTATCTTTAAGTATTGCTTTGTTTTTTAGGTCAATTTAGGGTACAACAACAATTAGGTGTATTAGAGCTATATCATTGAAGTTTCTGTTCAAATATTGTGTTAAGTTCTTAATATAGAAAATCAACTAAAATTTTGAATTGTCTCGACCTGGTTCTTTTCATAACGTTTTTTATATATTTTATATCCGACTACAGGTCACCTTTCTGCTAAAATTAAAAGTTTGGTTAATATTTTTTTAATATATTCTATATTTCGACTCTGCTTGAGAGTCATTATCAGGAACGGAACTCTAAAATTAATTAATATTAATTAATATTAATAAAATCTATAGCTATACGTCGTGTGTTTGATTCTGTTCTATCCATATTGCACTTAAAATTTTAAATAAACCTTTAATTTTAAAAAAAAGGTGACCTGTAGCCGAATATAGGAATCGGAATAAACGGAGTACCAGCTCCCAACGTAGCGGAGCACTACGACTATGGTTGATCTTTTGTGCTGCAACAGACCCTAACTGAACAGAAGACATTCTGCTTTCCGAATGAAAGCCAGAATATCGGCCGTTGAGGACCTCCTAATGTCAGCAGAGGAGAGTAGTTCTCGAACCAGTGATCTCCTCCTGGGCAGTCACAAAGAAAAGAAATCAACTATAACGCTTGTAATATGTAATAGGCAGAGATTCTTAGAATGACAAAATGTGGTTCAGGCCCGCGTAAATTGTTCATTAAAAAAAAATAAATATTGTTAACCATATTTTTATAAAGACATTAGTCATGTCAGATTTATCTGTTCATTGTTGCCTTATTGGAGTGTCAAAATTTCTGTTTTGCATTGAACATGCACAACTTTCTTGGTAATTTTATGCAATACCGTATTAAATTCAAGCTTTCATAAATTGTCGATAAGCAGAAAGCAGAAGATAACATTCTTCAATTTTTGTTTTTTTTTCGCACAGTGTTTTAAGTTTATCTGAATTTCCATATTTATATCCAAATTCATTACTTTTAAACATATTCCATTGACATATGATTGATAAGATGTTAAAATGTTGTATGTGTAAATGTTTGCTTACAAAAATGAAAAGAAAACCACAGCTTTTATGCAAAGGAATTTTGGTATGGGTTTCATTGGTTTCAGATCGTCCTAAATTATTTATATAATGCAAAAGAGATAGAGAAAATATGCAATTTATATAAATTATATAATATATATATTGTATAAAAAAAGTATACATACTTTATTGGCCCTGTAAAATAATACCAGGCAATACATGGCAACAAATTGCGATATATTGTTAATCACAACGATGTATGGAAACGCCACGTTTCCTGCGAATGTACCTTCGCCATATACACCGCACAGCTCGCAAATGCTTTAAAATTATAAATTATTGTAAATATTTAATATGCTTAGTATATAATTAAAATGGATATCATACCACCCAACTAAATGTAAACGAAATGAAAGCAAATTAAATAAAAATTATATACAAATCAAAATCAAAAGTGATGATATCTCTAATTATGCACCCAATTAAATGAAACTTACACTGATATGAAGGTGGTTATGGGCCGTACCACAGTGTACTGTAGTATACCGTGCTTGCAGTTATGTATGAACTCTCTACCCATGGTCCAGGGTCGCATGCAGCAGAGTGGGAAAAAATGGTATACTTGTGGCTTATATTGCATAGTTGCCTCAAGATCCATGCCCAAATTCAAATAGTTTAACAAATACACCATAAAGTTGTAAATGACATATGCTTCGTAGCATTCACGCAATGAATCAACATATATCGAATGTTTGGGAAAGAAGAGACCTATCCACTGTAAAAAAAAAATGTATATACATATAAATAAAATAAAATAATAATATAATAATATAATTTAATATATATTTTTAGTTAAGCAAATTATTGACTATAATTACCGCATTTAACGCATAGATGGGCACCATCCACAGTATACGTATTATATGTCTTTGTAGTATTGGTCTCGAAAAGTGTATGACATGTTGAATTATGTGCCAAATCGACACCGGTACCGCTGACAGCACAAACAAGCCACCAATCAGTATCAATTGATCCTTACGTGAGAATCCATCTTTTAGCGAATTGACTATCAACAGTGGTACAACAATTATGGCAAATATCGTATAGGTAACAATAAGTAGAGGTCGTATCCATATACGCCACTCCTCACAAAATCTTCGCAAATTGATGCCACACATTTTGCACAATAGCAGCAACAACAATGACAAGTTTGTTTTACACTTTTAAGATTTCTTTATCTGTTGGATGCAATTGTCTGGGTGATGACGACAATGATAACGCCAACGACTGAGTTGGCAGTGAAAAGCACAACACAGTTTGTTTAAAACAACCGTCTACATGGCTCAATGCATCCACTTAGCAGAATGTTGACATTTCATTGATGAAAACACTTTCACAATTATTTTATTTATTTCAAATTTCTATTCTATCTAATAATTAGTTTTACTTTATGTCGTTAATAAATAATAAAACAATATTTATTGTTTATCACTTTTTTTTAATTAGCAAAATATAAACACCTTCTTTGACAAGAAAATTCCTACTACTTTCAATGTAGCTTTTGTTGTGAGATTGTCAGAAAGATAAAACTAAAACATAATCAAATAAAACGCAACGACGTCTGCAATTGGTCAAAATAAAGACCACGAAGCGAAATGCAAAATTTAATTCCACGCTTCGCTCTCTACATTTTAACGCCGTCAAAAAAAAAATACGTAATGCGTTCGGAATATCAAAATTACATTTATATACTATATGAGAACAGATATATATATAAAGAGTTAAATTATTATATTCTTTCATATTAAATTTAATTATAATATAAAATAAAATATAACTCTCAAGGAGCAGTGAAAGCAGTTTCGACATGGACATTTGGTATATAGTTAATATATATAGTTAATTCAAAAATTTTTAAGAAAAACAGCAGCATCAAAAAGTTGTCTAAACTCATATATAAGACGTGTGCAAGTTCTAGTAAATTGAAATAAATAGTAAATTATGTCGGTATGGTAGCGAATGTTGATATTTCCCAGAATAGAGTAGAGTACCGAAAATTAGATTAAAATTAGGTAAATTAGGCATTACCATTGTGAAAATTTTTAGTTGTTTAATAAATTAAAATAGCACTTATTATTTAAAAATAATAAGTGCTATAAATAAATAAATAAATATTTACATAATTGCAATACAAAAAATCCCAAGGAAATTTAAAAAAAAATTACCTCAATTAACTCGAATTCGTACACAGCCATAAAAATTAAACACAACTCTCAAGGAGCAGTGAAAGTAATTTCGATATGGACTGTTGGTATATAGTCCTTAAAATCCAGAAACCACAAATAACAGTTATTTTAAAAATTTTAAAGAAAAAAAATCAGCAACAAAAAGTTGTCTAAACTCATATTTAAGTATATAATTATCATCCTAAAGCATTATATAGAGCAGAGTTGTCCAGATCAGAGACATCCATGGTTTTTTTTTTTTTGGAGAAAAATAAAAATACGATGATAATGTTAAATTTAATTTTATTATTTATTCATTTGAATTAATGAAGTAAGGTGTGATTTTATCGCATACATGTCTCCAGACCGAAATTAAGTATACATATATGAATATTCACAGTACGATTTGGTAGCACGGCATGCTTGGTTTGAATGCATTCACGTTCAGCTTTAATATTATGCATGCTTTGTATATATCAGCGTTTTTAAATAAGTCAAGAAATAATAATTATATTTGCTTTATATTACATTTTTTAAAAATAATTATTATCATGTGGCTTATATTTTTCCACGCACGAAAAATTCTTACATTCCGAATAACTCATACTTTTTATTTTAAAACACACAAATAACTGCTATATTTGCTTTAAAAATATACAAATCAGGAATAACCTTTTTTTTTGAAAAGGTTAAGCGATCTCGCTTTATTTCTGCAATCTGTCAAAAAACAAATCTTGCACATAACAGGTCTACTCTAAGAGCTACTCGTAGTAAAACTCAACTAAAATACGAGTTAAGTACAAACTGAGAGTGTAACTCAAATAAAGTGCCAAATTACGCTCTTTACACAAATTTTCTTGGAATAACTTTGTTTAAAGTCTGGTGAAAACAAAAATGCCGGGCAAATAAACAATACAAAAATTTAAATTAAAATCAAAATAGCTGATTCACATATCACACAAATTTTAGTTGAAATTAAATGTACGAGTAAAGTCTGTGTATCATTTTCAAATTTCGACAGGGATGTTACACTCTCTCAGATGCTCTGATTTATTCTAAAATTTGCTGGTGGAACACATTTGTATATACACAGTGTTACTCAAAGCTACTATGAGTAGCTCGTGAAACAGATCTAATTTAAAGATTAATATAATATATTTAATATAAAAATGAAAATTAAAATAAATAAATTAAAAGCAATGTTAAGAATGCTGGAAATTTTGAAACATCTTTTTACAACAAAATTAAAAATAGAATATTTATGCAACAAATACGTTAAAAAATTTAAAGCGCTTTTTAATTATATTATCTTCATATACTTCCAAAAATTTTGGTATATATTTATGTACCTATTTTTAAAATATTTATTTTCCACAATTGTGTACATTTTTAAAATATTTCATTCACGGTTTTCAAAATTGTGGAACTTCTTAATTTTGTACGAATTTTTGATTATAAGCTTTGACAGATGACTGGAATATTCGTTAAAATTTCCCATGAAGGTTCACAATAGATCACTTAATGCATTGGTAACATTTTTGTCTGTAGTTGCTAAAATGTTTAGCTATTTCACAACTAAGCGCTTAGTAGTGTTGTTGTTTTGCGTACAAATTAACAACTTTAAGCAAGCGACTTATTGTTTTTTGCCACATTTAAAAGCTGCTTAAAGCACCTAATATAAAATCTAACCAAATACCTGAAAAATGTATTTATTTAATGCAAAATTGTAGAATATTTTTGGTATATTTTGGTTTAAAATTTTCAACATTCTTCCATAGAAAGGAATTATAAAATAATTGTTTTCTTATTACAATTTAATTTGCATAACTCTTTGTGAATTTCGTGTTAAACCAGATAGTCTAATATATTCTATTTTTATAATAAGCCTCTTCATGAGGCTAAAATCGTATTAATTAGCTAAATAGAAAAACTATTTGCTAATTTAGTGTTTTAGCATTTTAGCTAGAGTATAGCATACTAAATTGCTAAACTGTTAAATGTGTAGTAAAAAATGTCAATAATGTTTTTGGAAGTTTTAAAACTTTAAGATTTAAATAAATAAAAATTAAAAAATGTGCACTCATAATGTTCGTATTTAGCTAATAAGCACTTTACCACTTAACAAATTTACCACAAGTTTAGTATATTAAATAAAAATCGTAGAGGTTAAATTTTTTATTTTAGCTGTATACATGTATTTATATATATACTCTGGCTTTATATTAGCTTAAGTACTATTTTATAATTTAAGGTTCTATTAAATGAATCGATTTACAAAGAGTGAAGCCATAAATTCAAAAGAAAAATTTGTTTGTGAAATATTTCTGATATCTCAACAAAGATTTGTAAGGGATTTCATACGTCTTTTGAGGTTCACAAGATATAAATATACTAATAATACATAACACCAGTTTTTTATCGAGGCAATTAGTTTTATCCGCAATACTATGTTTATACTTAACGATTAGCGGAACTCAATAGTTCCGTTATATAATAGTTGCGTTATAACAATTAAGTGGTTACACTATGTCAAGAGCGAAATAAAATTAGAAAAAAAGGAAGGATAAATTTAAAAACATTAAAATATATGTAATATAAACTATAGATTATATACAGTATTGACCGTTTAGTTTTTATCATTTCTAAAATTTGTTTGTTTGCGTTTGAAACGTGCTTTTCAGGGGCTTGTGGACTCAGTTGCTATTTGAATATAATTAAAATTAATGCCAATCAACTATTTATATCTAATTGATAATAAAAATAATATTATTTACTTACATGCTCTATTTTGTTTAAAGACTACAAAAAAAAAACCGTAGAGTTATTATACGTAAGATAAAAAATTCAAAAACTTTTGTTATAATTCACGGTTAGCAGTAGTTGACGGTTTAGACTATTGCACTGAATCCAGCAGACATGCAGCAATAAGTGTCATTTTTCATACAAAATCCATACAAATAATACAAAACAAACCAAAAAACAAACTTAAAAATGTTAAAATAAGAATTTTCGTTTGAAAATAGATTCCATTAATTCTAGAGGCCCTATGCTTCACAAGGAGATAAAGGGATTAAGAAGAAGAATAAATTCTATTACTTTTTACTCAAAATATTTTTTACGTTAACATTACGAGTTTAAATTGTTAAGAATGAAATATGCTAATTTATAATTCTGTGTCATTAAGGTGCATTCTATTAAAAATTATTTAAATGAAATTGATTTGTCCAAAAGAAATATCCAGCCATCCTTGCGGACGGACAGATTCATCCAATTAAGTTTAAAGGTCAATAATATTTATCAATCAAACAAAATTTTTACCTAAGCTTATAGCATGCTAATCTTAAGAAACAGGCTGTCTTAATAGATGTCTTCATTTTGCGCTTTTCTTTTGTATTTTAATTATATTTACAGATCCACAGGTTTTAGCGGATAATTGCATAACTACGTTATTTTTAAATGAATAAAGTGCGGTAATAGAAAAAACAAACTAAACAAACTAAACAAACACTTGATTCTCAGTGGCGACACGTCAAACATGTAGTATATAAAATCCAATTTTAATATATTTATTTTTTTATTTTAAGTTTCTGAATCATTCATCATTTAGTAAACAAAAGAAACTCATATACAATCTATTTCATATTTTATATAAATATAAATTCATTAAATTAACAATAGTTTTTTTTTCCAACTTATAATTAAATACTTTCAAACTAAATGAGAATTATAAAAAGTAAGAACATGAACATGTAATATGATTCATAATATAGCTATTTAATTTATAAATATTGAACGAACAGGTTTATTATATAGAAAATCTTAATATATACTGTATAAATGCATATATACTAGAAGTATATTCTCAGAAGGTCTAGTTAAATAATAAAAACAAAGAATTGATTACAGTTAAATGGAATTATGCAGTCTGTACCTAAAAGCAGCAATGCATGCTCACTACTTTTCCATTAAAAATTGGATTTTATAAAATTACATATTGTATTGTCTGGATATAACTTTCAAACCGAACATTAGCATTTGTATATGTTATAAATTCCTCTTTAAACATCACCAATTTAACTTTTCTAGTACGTTAGCACTTTGTTTTAATTCTGCTTGTTCATCCATTAATTCGTCAGCTGATTTTATCGCTGTAGGAACGAAGACAAAACCTTTTAGTATATACTTTGAACGATTTCACATTAACTATCATACCTTTGGAAAGTGTTGCGTTAAGACCTAACTTAAATAGAAACCTTAATATTGCTGGTATAAAAGAACCACAGTCGCTTAGTGGAGAAATATATGAAATCGAAAAAAAATTGCGAACATAAAAAGTCAATTGCGGCTTT